AATAGAGTGCCTCAGTCATGTACAGCACATGTTTAAATTACATGTAAATAAAACAATATGTTTACATGCGTTGTATATGCTCCATGGGACCCATATTGAATACAATGAGACACTGATCGTGCTGCTTTGATGACACATTAATAAATTTTAATCTAGTAATTATTTTTATTATTCATAGAAATTCTCTAAGATGCTGTAACCATGGAAATTATGCTGAATGCTAATAGATGTTTATTGTAAATGTCATCTCAATGTTTTAATTAATTGGCAATAAAATGTGTGTTGTGTTTAGTTGAGCTGAACTAAAGAATAACAAGCCATGCATGGCACAGTCCCAGTTAGTTATCAAATTTAAAATATATAGTTTTGTTTATAGTAATATAGCTGAAATATAACCATGTCAGGAATATGATTATGATGATTTTTTAACATTAAAATGATTGACATTTGTATCTGATCGTCAAACAAGTACTTGTCCATATTGGGAGATATTGCTCTGGAACAGCATTAATTAAAACAAAATCAGCCATTTTGAATACATGTATATATCTATAACATGATATATAACGAATATATAAAATTTGAACATAATCAGTCAAAACAAGTCGGAGATATGGCTCTAGAAGCCCAATCATTGAAAAAAATGGCCACCAGTCAGCCATTTTGAAAACTGGACTAATAATCAATAATGATAATAAAGAAAGCTTAGAAAGAAGAACTCATGTGTGCTGTGAGTATTGGGGACATATGAAAATGTATTAGCCTTCCAAACAAACAGCCTGTTGGCTGAGATAGCTCCGCTGTTAGCAATGCACATTTCAATTAAAGAACAGAAAATAGAAGTCGAAAATACCACTTTTTACCAAAAATAACAAAAATATTCATCAAAATTACAGAATTGAAATGAACAAATCTGAGAGAGGTCTACATGTAGTATTTTTTATATATGTAATATCAAAGCAATTGGACTTGCGGTTTTTAATAAGAAATCAAAAATATCACTTTTTACCAAAAATGACAAAAATATTCACCAAAATTAGAGAATTAAAAATATCATTACAAAATGAACAAATCTGAGAAAGGTTCACATGTAGTACCTATATATGTAATATCAAAGCAATCAGACTTGCGGTTTTTAACAAGAAGTCGAAAATATCACTTTTTACCAAAAATGACAAAAATATTCACCAAAATTAGAGAATTAAAGATATCATCACAAAATGAACAAATCTGAGACTGGTCCACATGTAGTACCTATATATGTAATATCAAAGCAATCGGACTTGCGGTTTTTAACAAGAAGTCGAAAATATCACTTTTTACCAAAAATGACAAAAATATTCACCAAAATTAGAGAATTAAAGATATCATCACAAAATGAACAAATCTGAGACTGGTTCACATGTAGTACCTATATATGTAATATCAAAGCAATCGGACTTGCAGTTTTTAACAAGAAGTCGAAAATATCACTTTTTACCTAAAATGAGAAAAATATTCACCAAAAATAGAGAATTAGAGATTTTGATATGAAATGAACGAATCTGAGAAAGAACCATCCAAGGTACTTGTATATCAAATTTGAAAACATTCTGACTAGCGGTTTTGAAGAAGAAGTTGAAATTGTAAAGTTGACGACGACGGACAATCAGTAATATGAACAGCTCGGCTGTGTGGACGTTGTTGACAGCGGAGCTAAAAAGAAGTTTGGCAACTAATATTTGTCTGCTTTTTGAGATGCACAACATGTAAACAATGTGATTCTCATTATTGAAGTAAATAATACTTACTGAAAATAAATCTGATTTTGCATCTGTGGTTTTTAGTCTAATAATTCATTCTATCACAAGTTCAATTTAAGTCTGATTTTTTGAGAAGTCAGCATAAATGTACCAAGTTTAATTATGCAAATTAGGTGATTAATATGCATGGATATTAACCCAAAACTTATCAGGTCTGTGCAGTGTCCTATGACATCTAAGTACCAGGTTTCATTGAAATGTGATGATTAGTACTGGAGATATCCATGGAAAAAATGGAAATTGACTAATCTTCATGCAAATTAGGTGATTAATATACACATATTTTTATTCAAAACTAATTAGGCATGTGCATAGTTCAAAAAAAACCAATGTACTAAGTTTCATTGAAATGTATTGATTAGAACTTGTAATAGTGGTTGACCCAAAAATGTACTAATTATGCAAATTAGGTAATTGATATTCATGGATTTTTACCCAAAACATATAAGGTCTGTCATTGTTCTAAGACATCTATGTACCAGGTTTGAATAGTTCTTTAGATATCAGTGGAACAGTCACGGAACAGCTAAAAATTAGCTAATTAATTTCATAGGTTTAACCCAAAACCAAATCAAATCTGTGCATTTGCGCAGAGCATCTATGTATCAAGTTTCATCTAAAACCAACATATGGTTCTTGAGATATCAGTGGAACAGTTAAACACATGGAAGTCAAAAGAATATCAAACAAAATCTCACAGAAACAGTTTTTGAAATATTCAGTTGAAATAGTTTTTAAATCACTACTTTGTAGCCTAGAATATCACCAAAAAACTCTATGATATAGTTTTGTTGTATGTTAATTGTTTCTCTACTCCAGTTTTTTTTTTTTTATGTGGGTATTTAATAATCAACAGCATTATGTCAATTTACTACTACGTAAATATCGATATAAATCAACCCATTTCTTAGATCCACAAGTACAAGCTTTTAGGTCAAACAACAAACAAACAAACGAAGGAACTAGCCAACAAATATAAGGATTTAAGATCAGAAAGTTCGTAAACTTTCAATTATATGCTAGCAACCAATATCAACGTTAAAAAGACTCGCGCATCAAAAATGATTATTTCAAAACCAAATTCTTTACTTCACACATAATGAATACTGGTTTGTTGGAGATGTGTCGGTCAGAAAATAAAAAATTTGTTTTTCCACTTAAAATATGATGATATATATTTAAAATCTGTGATTTTAATTTACGAGCAATTATACCATACAGCTGACAAATGACATAGCGGCAAAGTACGTCACGTGATTAATTATTTATGAAGACGTTCGTTCGTTCAGTTCAGACAAACAAAACAGATGCATTTATAACCGCTAAGGCATTGAAATAATTTCGCAATGGCTTTATTTGGGTAATAAACTTCCTTGAGATTCAAACAAGTCACATACTGATAAGTCACAGTGAATTAACACAGTTAGGGTTGAATGTGTTGTTATTGTCCACAAACATTGTCATAATTTTGATCTGTTTTATGTAAATATTCAAAGTAATGAAGAAATTACAAAAAAAATATCTCAAACAATACTAATACACATCAAATATGTTGGCTTTATTTTTATAGTATTTTCTAAAAATTTTATGTTTTTTTTTTCAACTAAATATCATGTTAATCAAATGGAAGTTGAACTGCTGTTTTGTGGAGATAAATGACGCATAAATTCACAAAACACAAAAACCAAACCTGGAATATGATTAAAAATATTCAAAATTATAATGCTAGTACTTACACGAACTCCGTAGCATACACCGCCATGGAGTAACTTGTCGTCTGGGTGCAACCAACCTCTTGCTGGTTTGTTAATAAAAGTGCCATTTTTACTCCAATCTGCTGCCCTTGAATTAGGACTCTCTGGTGCTTTTTTCTGCCTCATACGGTTGATCATCCCAGCCATGGCAAGAAATGACGGGTGTCTGAAATTCCATAATTTTTTACGATGATTGGGTCGCCGATTTGGTGAGGTGAAAGTCATTGTATTTGGTGTATGGTGTATCTGGTGAACCAATGCGGCATCGAGTCGCAAAGGAGAGTCAGTTGTCTTGGACTCGCTTACGCTTAGGCGTTTAAAATTCATAGTTATGTATTTGTAAATAGTTTTGATAGCACACAAATGTACAAATAATATAAGTATATTTAAAAAAAATACTGTGTCTCTTTTTTTATCTTGGACTTATGGTTTGCTGACACATTTCAAGCCAAATAATAACAGAATGCAAAAAATACGTCCATAAGAGTACCAATCAGATGATCAGAGCATATTAATCACTCCCCAAAGGCAGGAATCGAACACAGCACACAATGATCAATTAAGTGCATTTTAACAGGATGTCTTCTCTCTCCTCCTCCTCCTCCTCCTCATTATCCCTCAGATATCATCACAATCTATATCCCTAATCTTCATCATCAGATGTTGTTGCCATAGAAACAAGATAATGGGCAATTCCAGTGAGAATTTCACAGACCAATATTTCAAAGGCAGGTTCAACTACATGGAAATACACAATGAGCCACCACGAGAAATCCAAATTTTGACAATTAACCGCCCTGGATGTGACTAGTTCAAGAAATTAAAAGTGCAAATTTTGCACAAATCTGTGTCAGCAGGCAGTCCCCATAGCTTCACATAATCCTGTTTTCTACTGATGCACGATAAGGCATGTAACTATTACAATAATCCGATGTCACACTTCAGAGTCAAGATCTGATGGATAGTACCAGATACAGCAGGTGGAATTATGAATTAACAACCTCGCGCAGCCATTCAGGGCTCACAACAGTAGGAATATCAGTCAAAAATCCTGATTGTAGAACTAAGGCAGAGAAGACTTGAATGGATACACATGGTAAATACACTGCCGTCTTTTAGCCAGCTGGGAATGTGAATAAGTCGTTGTCGTTGGAGCAGTACATCCTGCTTGTAATCCCATGTACGCACATTTCCTACCGACACGGATGAGGCACAACAAGGGTTGGCAGTTCCTCCATTCAGGACACACAGCCGTTTAAAAAAACCACACAGTAAGAATTTCAAACGGAGACATTAATGACTACTGCTCAGGTACTTATATTTAATACATGGATAAGAAATATATACTGGCCATTCACTACACTGATCTTCCGTTAGGGTTATACCATTTGTTAAGTCAAATCAGGTAGGACAGGGTGATGTTTAGAGGGGTACAGGGGGAGACAGAGTTATTATCAGGAATGGCATATTATCACATGTTTATAGCAATATCAGATTTAAAAAAATAAAATGAATAAATTCCACAAAATAATACGAATGATGTAAAGACATAATTTTGCTGTCAAATAATTATTTACTTCCGTTGTATAAATAGTTGGCAAGCCATTGTGTCTAAGGTCAGAGGATGTTTTCTTATATTTCATGTTGTAATTCGATCTTCAGCCTGGCCACATGTGTCCAGTGATTCTGACAGTTTTTCCAACAAACATTTCACCCCTGCATTAATAATACTGTACACATGATACTTCCGATGGCCTGCTCTATAAATAACTTAAAGACTACATGGAATGTACCATTCATCACAAAAGGAAGTCAAGATAGGAGTAATACAGTCACAAGTGATAGTACTCTGAAGATGACATCTACAAACCTATATTTTGACCGGTTAAATTTCTTGGGTGTGATTTAATGACAAGAAATTCGTAAATAATTCTAATTGTGTTTTTACCCGGGAATTGAAACATGGAGGGTGACATACCTGAACTCCCTGTCTGTAAAATGCCTAGGTCTTGCTTACCTCAGCTGGGAAGATTAGAATCCAAATTGATGATGTAATGACTTCCTGTGACGTCACCAAAGTGATCCTCCAATCACCCAGCACTGTGTTTGCGGTTTCTCTACTCCTAAAGTGATAACAGAGAGCAAGAGAGCGATAAATAGAAAGGATTTCTCCCAAGACACGCAGGTCATGCCACATCTACATCTACATCTACGAGCCATAATTCTTTAACGTGATAACTGCTGAATAGTAACAAGTAGTCTTTCCTCTTCAAAATAATAATATACAAGTAGATATACTGTAAAATACTTTATTTTTAGCTGGAATTAATTTTCACTGAAAAGACTTTTTGGGTGTTCTGCATGGAATTTATTTCCACTAATTTTCGATGAGTTGAATGTAAAATATAGGAAAAAAGGTATTTTTATTGGATTTTATTTTCACTGAATCATCTCCTTCAGAAAAAAATAAATTCCAAGCAAAAATAAAGTACTTTACATTATGTTGATGATTAAGAAACTTTAATTTATAAGCAATTTGTCTCCCCCCCCCCCTGAAGGTCCAGGATGTACAACCTATAAAGGTCATTTGTACAGCTTATTCTGTAGTGGAAAACATTTCCAGTATATGAGCATAGCTAATATCACAAATGGTTTTCCAATCAACATTAAACACATTCCATAATGGCAAATACAGTTAGCAGTGAATAAGTAAACTTGAGAAAGCGTTTAGGTATTCAAAGGTTTCCCTAAAGAGTGACTGCAGGCTAATTAGCCATCTACCCTTAATGTGACATGTACATGAAAACAATATTAGATTTGCATACAATGATCAATAATTGAACATACATGCACATAGAACTTGTTGTTGAGTAATTGTATAGTCTTAAAAAAAACAAGTAATCTGCTTGTGGGTATATACATGTAGCTTGCTGTTTATGATGCTTATTTCCTAAGCAATTTGTATATTTATTAAAGAAAAGAAGTCCCATTTGTAGAGTGAATTGTACTTATAATAAAACAATTAAAAATAACATATTAAACAATCATTCTGTTGGTTGAGCATCAATCTGCAATTTTTAAGATGCACAAAGCAGAAGCTATCAAATCTGTTGAAAATTACTTCTTACCAAAAATGACTTCATAGTTGAAGATATCAATAGGAAATTTGAAGATATCAATAGGAAATTAACAACAACCTCTATACTGATACATGTACTAAATATCAAAGTACATTTTTGTAATCTTTGAGGTATGAAGAAGAAATCAAAAGTATCACTTTATACCAAAAATATTCATCAAAATTAGAGACAAAACGAACAAATCTGAGCAAGGTCCACCTAAGGTACATGTATAATACATCAAAGCAATGGGACCTAGTTGTTTTCAAGAAAATAGGTCAAAAATGTAAAGTTGACGCTGAACGCAGCAATCAGTAACACTATAAGTATCACTCCACTTTGAAGACAGAAGAGCTAAAAAAAAAACCTACATAACATTTTTTTTTAACCACAGCATATCTTACTCATAATCGATCAGTGAAGATTAATTAATAAAGAAATTAATTAAAATTTCATAAAAATTCATGCTTTTACAGTTTTGGGTCATAAGTTTGAGAACTAAAAAT